CTTGTGAGTCCATCTGCTGTGTTTAATTTTAAAGCAAAGACTTGACTTTTTAAGCTTTACCTTCTCAGAGGAATACATTTAAAATAACATAGATTATATGTTAGAAAGACACTGTACATACAGGTACATAAATTACAGTAGTTAAGCGAATTGGGGTTTTTTTACCCTGAAGCAGGAAATTACCTGAATATTAGTTTCCCAGTGAGCCCACAGCAGTGATATCAGGGTCTAATAAAATTGATTAATTTATTATGAATACTTTTGTTTTTACAATTTGCCCACAGACGTACTTATTCTACTGTTTTTGTTACAGCCGCAAACGTTCCAAAAGTCGGAGCCCCTTCAAAAAGGAAAAGAGTCCCATCAGGTGAGAAGAATATTCACATTTTATGTTATACCAAAAACTGTTGAGTTGATTACACACTGTGAAAACATCACTAGGCGTATTTTATAATCAATTTCTGCCAATAGGTCCCTTTCACCCAAATCTTGAACACTGGCTACCTACTCTCGCTAGCACAGCTTTTCACCTACCGTAGCCTCACTTCAGAAAGCTTATAAAAAGATCGCTGACCTTACGGAGGAAGCTGTCCTCTGACGCTCTGGATCTCTTCCTTGCCCTGAGGTGGGATAGAATCCTTCATCCAAGTCTGAGGTCGCTCCCTCGTCACATTGCTCAGCTGCAGTCACCACACTGTCTTCTCAGATCTGCAATATTCGAGATTTTAATATTCATATATGTTGTGCAAATTAAGATCTCTTCAAATAGCTTAATTTTCTTTTACGCCCCACTCCCTCAACCCCCCGAAAATAAACTGGGCACCATTCGGTCTCGCATTATTAATTAACAGCTGGCACATTTTCATATCACCCCTGTCTTCTGCCCTGTGCCACATAAGAACATCTGGTGAACTCCTTTAATGACCTATGCCTGTCAGCATTGGATTTAGTTTCAAAACCAGAATCAGACCGGTCTCAAATGTGCCTCCATGGTTTAATTACGCCATCCGATTATTAAGAACATTAAAAGACAGACAAATTCGTTATTTAATAGTTTGGATTGTGATGTTTCCTGAAGAATAAGTCTGTTTCATTAATTTAACAAGTTTGATGTTTTTGTCCTTTCAGGCAACCAATTGACAATCTAACACCCGAGGAGAGGGATGCACGCACAGTTTTCTGTATGCAGCTCGCTGCCAGAATCAGAGCTCGGGACCTGGAAGACTTTTTCTCAGCTGTCGGAAAAGTCTGTTTATTTTCTTGTTTTTGTGAATATATCCAGAAAGTCCGTATATAGTTATTAAAAACCATCACTGTTTCTCTTTGAAGGTCAGAGACGTGAGAATGATCTCAGACAGAAACTCGAGGAGGTCAAAGGGCATCGCCTACATAGAGTTTGTGGACTCTTCTTCTGTACCTCTGGCGATCGGACTCACTGGCCAGAGGCTTTTAGGAGTTCCCATCATTGTCCAGGCCTCTCAGGTAGGTGTTCTGACCTCACTGTAACATTTAAATGAAGTGTGGTGCAGTCTATCCAGTGTGACTATCAATGGACATCTCTAAAGCAGAAGGAAACATTGACCAGTTCTAAAGGGATAGTTCACCCACAAATGAAAATTCACTCATTATCTACTTACCACTATGCCAATGGAAGGGGGTAAAGTGTTCGAGTCCACAAAACACTTTTTTCATGCGTTGCAGCCAAATACAATTTAAGTAAATGGTGTTTGAGTCTTGAAACCATAAAATGCCTCCATACAGCTTGTGTGGTGTCATCCAAATTCAACTAGAAACACTTACACCACGTTTTACCCTGAATTACCTCTTACCTCTTGCCTGGAGCCGTGTTTACGTGCACACACACCCCTCTATCGGTGCAGTGATAAGTAGATAATGAGTGAATTTTCATTTTTCTGTGAACTATCCATTTGAAGTCGGCACACTCGGGATCTCAGGATGACATGAAAAGTTTGTAAATGCAGTGAAAAGCTTTAAAACCAGTGTTCTGTTCGTCAGTTGTTAAACAGACTTTTCTAATCGTATTGAATTCAGCTCAGTTTGCATTCATTTGGAACAGATTGGCTTTTTCTACATTGCAGCTCCTAATGTTTGACATATATTGAATTAACATTCTTATGCTTCACTTTCCATGTGTAATCACAGGCAGAGAAAAACAGAGCTGCAGCGGCTGCTAACAATTTACAGAAGGGCAGTTCCGGTCCGATGCGGCTGTATGTGGGCTCGCTGCATTTCAACATCACTGAAGAAATGCTTCGAGGAATCTTTGAGCCCTTTGGAAAGGTCAAGAACAAATTAATTTTAGTAAATCAGAATTTCTTAATTCCTGTGCAGATGCATTTGTTTCAATCGTGTTTTTGGTTTTCACAGATTGAGGGAATCCAGCTCATGATGGACAGTGAGACTGGACGATCCAAAGGATATGGCTTCATATCGGTAATCAAGGCCTTTGATTTATTTACAGTGCTGTAGAGTCTGCAGCTGATTTTTTACCTTAAACACTTTGTCTTCTGAAGTTTGCAGATGCAGAATGTGCAAAAAAGGCCCTGGAGCAGCTGAACGGCTTTGAGCTGGCCGGGCGTCCGATGAAGGTGGGGCATGTGACGGAGCGCTCAGACTCTTCGACGGCCAGTTCCTTCCTGGACAACGACGAGCTAGAGAGGACCGGCATCGACCTGGGCACCACCGGACGTTTACAACTAATGGCTCGACTGGCAGAAGGTTTGTATCAACAGAACATGAAGCACAAAATACACAATAACTAAGAAATACTTAACATTTAAAGTTGCGGTAAGAACAGAGTTTTAAAATCCATTTCTGTGCTGATACATCTGTTGCTGTGCTTTACTGCTGGGAAGCAGAACATTGAAACAGATTTATGTCACCTAACTGGTGCCAGTTTCCTAAAATGCCACCAGCTGTCAGTATAATGAAGCAACCGTCTGAATTTTACACTTGCGTGTGAAATTTCAATTTCTCTGCCTCCTCAGGAACTGGTCTGAAGATTCCCCCGGCTGCTCAGCAGGCTCTGCAGATGACTGGGTCCATACCGTTTGGAAACATGTCTGCTCCAGCAGGTGAAACCTTAGATGAAGCAAACATTGTTTTTTAATAGAGAATGGTGTCAAATAAATAATTGTTGCTGTTTCAGCCGTCCCAACTCCAGCTCCAAGCCAAGCATTGAACCTCCCATCTCAGCCGCTGGCCACACACTGCCTCCAGCTGTCCAACCTGTTCAACCCACAAGCGTAAGGATTTGATCTTTTGTAGATGGGCTCGTGTTTTTCCAAATACTCACCCAGTGGCCAGAATGTGAGCGGGGTCTTTGTGTAGAAACGTATATTGGTGCAGGCCAGACCAACCACTTACAATCATAGTACAACATGGCTCCTGTGTATTGACCCTGTGCTACAGCTCGGCTGCATATGGGAACAGAACAGGGGAATTTCACAAAAATATAACGTTGGAAGATTCACAGGTTGCCTGACAAACTAAAGAAGCCTCATTATCTTCAGGTGAACTTTAGAAATTGTTTCTACACAGAATTAGATCTGGACCCTTATTTCTGGTCAATATTAATATAAGTAAGACATCTTTCAATGTAAATCTTGGACATGTCAAAATATTAAGATTTTCTTGGAATAGTTAAAATCTGACTTGTTTTCCAGGGAAAATGATCCCACCTGGGCCACTGAGATCCAAGACGATGTGATCGAGGAGTGCAACAAACACGGAGGAATAGTTCACATTTATGTGGATAAGAACTCAACTCAAGTAAGTTGAAGCACACAAAATGTCTCAGCATCCAAATAGAAGATTTGACACATTACTCCAACCAGTAAAACCATTATCGTACATGAATCTGACATTTATGTTCCAATTGTTAGTACTTTTAGTTGTATATAACCTGGTAATATAATTAATCAAGAGGCGGAGAATCAAAGGATTAACCGAACTCTCTCTTGTTCACAGGGTAATGTGTATGTGAAGTGTCCCTCGATACCAGCAGCGATGGCAACTGTAAATGCACTTCATGGACGCTGGTTTGCAGGTATGTAAAGCCGTTTTGAATCCTTGTAGGGATAGTTCACTGAAAAATAAATACAAATGTGGAGCTTTCTTTAGGTTTTAACTGTCTTTCTTTATTCTTTCCCTCCCAGGCAAAATGATAACAGCTGCCTACGTTCCCTTACCCACCTACCACAACCTTTTCCCTGATTCAGTAACAGCGAAGCAGCTTCTAATGCCGGCACGTCGATAGTCTGAGACTTGCTTCTGAAAGGCAGTGTAAATACATTTGTTTGCATTCATGGAGCTGTCATTGAAACAGACACATCAAAATTAGTTGGCTGTGCGTAATAAAAGTTGCCTCAAGTTCAACATTGAAAATTAGGTTTTGTTTTTTAGTTGCTTTCAAAGTTTTTGTGGGTTTGTGTTGTAACTATCACTGAGAAGTAATCTGCAGGTATCTATTGGTCTGTATGTTTTTAAATATTACCGTCTTATCTGCTTGTTTAAATCCAGTTTTAGATTTAAAATTGCAGAGTCACAAAATGTGTTGGGTTAATAGGCCTTAAATGCCAAAAGTATATTAATGTCAACAATAATCCTTTGTACCTTTTTACAGCCATAATTTCATTTTTTGTATGAAGGCTCCCAATAAACTTGGCAAATTTGACAATTCATTTTCCATTTGTCTCATTTTGGGGAGTTTTTAAATTCCAGGATCAAATATAAAACTTTGAAAGAACCCAATGTTTCTCTGATCAATACATTTTATCTGTAATTAAAAGTCTTGAGATTTTGGTTTAACACCTTTAACCATAAGTCATAAAAACAAACCAGATGTCACTCCACTGGTCAGAAGAAAGCACTCATACTCATTTTTCAGTCATGAGACTGACCGCATGTCCTGTGATTTGATAAACTTCTCAGATATTAGACTTAAATGTCATTCATGAACCTAAAACAAGCTTGATGAAAATAACTCAATACAAACTCTGCAGCAAACAGACAATGAACAGATCAGTCTGGATTGCATGTCCTGCAGCGTTCAAACTAAACAAGACTTCATGGCTGCCAACATTAGCACAAGCCAGTTAGTTTCATTCTTTTCTTTCAGTTCACCATTTTGTTTGCAGGGATTTTAATTATCTTAAAAATAAAGTTGAACCAGTTTATCTTCCTCGTAACACTTCCAAAAAAGCGTGTCACCCTCTGGTTTGTTCTAGACTGGGTTTGAATGACCTCACTTATTGCCCCGTGGCAGAAAAACATTGAAATTGGTTCTCAGTATCCATATAAGATAGATTACATTATTCATCCCCAAAGAAAGGGTCGTCATAGCAGTCCAGTATTTGGATACAATAAAAATACAATAGAATATAACTGGATATTTCTTAGCTCATACTAGCTGACGAGACAATGCACCAACAGGCCTCATGGTGGTAGTAGTGAGCATATTACGGCTTCAAATAGCACTAGAAAACAAAATTGGACAAGTGGCACAAAAACATTTGTGGTCAAACGATGTTTTGCAAGAGGAATACTAACGGGTTGTTCTGGAAATGTACATACCTGAAGTGGATGAACTGCACCATCAACCCTTTTGTGTTAAACAAATGACACAACACAGGTGTAATGCATATTCTGTAAACTTTATCTTACAACAAAAGATATAGCAACAACAAAATTGCTCTTTAGTCTTATAACAATTTATTTTCTTTCCTTTTTTTTTTTTTCTTTTTTTTTTACAATTTTACTGATTCTGTTTCCTCAGTCGTTGAAATCTGGAAAAAATGACATGGTTAAGTCTTTTCAAGTCATATTGTCTGATATTAAGAAATGTGTGCAGGATTCTCTCTGAACTATCAAACTGAACGTTTCAAGTACAGCTGAAGTCCTCAACAGTGTTGGGAGCGTTACATTTAAATGCATTTCACGCCAGATTACAGAATGCATTACAGTAAAAGTACCCAGGAACAATGGAGTCTGGCAAAAAGGATGATGAAAATAAAACCATATTCAAGTAATGGGTGCTGTCATTTTGCAGTAGTGATCGTTGTGTGGAGCCAATCATGATGTTTTACCCTGATCACTGCATCAAATAATTAAAACCAAACTTATTGAACATAATAAACCCTTGATCATACAGTATCATAAGAACTACCTAAAATGACAGAAACCCATCCTATACACTAACACGGAGGAGGTGGGGTGCTATCATGTCGTGCATCTTTGCAGATACTTGCAAAACCATTAGTGATCGTGGAGCTTATACGTCTAATAAGTTTTCCACAGCAACAACAAAAGCCTCGTTAATTCCAATTGATCTAGTGTTTTCAATGTACCTCAGGTGCTATTAAAACACATTATCTTCATATATATTCTAAAGAGGAATAAATCAACTGTAAGTAGTCTTGAGTTATCCTGAAGTCTGCTGTTCAGAATCATCTTTCATAGCAAATAATCAATGGAATAGTAAACTCACAGGTTTCTTTTTGTCATGTTTACTGCTTTATGCTTTCATCCTTTCTGCCAGACTAAACATCACCACCAGGGTCACTAACCCTGAATTCTCTGGGTCGTTTCCTTGCATTTACCATAAAGGCGAGACTATGGGTGCACTTGGCTGACTTGACCACAGTGCTCCAAGGAGACAGTCTTGCCATGTGCAGAAATTAAATGGAGCATCTTGTGTACCTCGCACACAATAGCATAGTAAAGGTTAAATATTACATGTGAGCTAATGATTCATCCACAGCTGAGAAGTCGCTGACCTGTACTGGCTCTTCACTTCTTAGTAGAGCATTCCTTCGCCTGGTGAGCCTGTAGGACTGCGATCGCCTCATCCACCTGCACAAAAAAGTGTGGAAAAACAATGGAGATAAATTGGGGATTATGGGAGATACGGTTGAGGCCCAATCATGGTCCTCCACCTCTACCACACTCTCCATCTCTCTCTGGTCTGGAGATGCCACTGAGCAACTCCTGCCAACCTCCTGCAATCAGCATCAATGTGAGTAATATTCTAAGAAATAGCAGAGAACTGTTCATGTGTAGATTCTTTTAATTACACCATTCATTGTATCACATTCAATAAAGAGAAGACCTGGCTCATCTTGAGTTTCTCAACACTAACAGCTACAATGGTCACATAGCAGGACATCAACTAGACAGTAGAAATTACCATGATTGTACCTTGGAGTGCAAAGACTCGGGCGACTCCAGCATGTGCAGCAGCTCTGAGTTGTCGATCTCCAGTAGCATCCCTGTAATCTTCCCAGCCAAGCTGTGGTGAAGGGCATGGATCATTGGATACAATCGCTCACCTGTGTGTCACAGCAAAGACGAGCAGCAACCTCAATGCATCAGTCGCTTCAATCCACATACATTATTTCTTAAAAGATGTAGAATTGAATAATGGCAGACCAAGGAGCTGTTTCTGATCCATTGGTTGAGCTGCAGCCAGCATCGAGGCGGTGAGCGGCTCATGGCCTGGAACATGCAAGGGTGGCTCCATCACTGGGGCAGGAATAACCTGGTACAAATCACACTTTGTTAAAAAAAGAAAATTAGTTTTTCAGTTAGTATTCATACGGTACAGTCATTAAATATTATTGGCATATGGTTTCATTTGAGGTATGTTATTTTTGTGATGGATAATTTAAAATCTTTATGATTTGCATCATTCTTAAACTGAAATGTCCAAGTTTAAGAAATGTCGACTGGATTCTGTATGACCCCTTTTACTCTTTTATGGACAGAATAAACAAATTCAATTGCCCAGTGTATGTTTTTACATGCACTGATAATTAGGTGCATGCAAACCAATCCATGTAGTTAACACACATACATCAGCTATCCTTGTTAGAACACTGAAATGACTTCCATTCATTGTGGACCCTGTCCCTAACCTTAACCCGGACCTCAGAAACGATGTTCTGCCTCATGAGGACCAGGCTTGGGTCCCCATCAGGTCTACTGTTCCTGAACAGGTCAGTGTTTATACTACTGACCTGTAGTCTTGTCATCGGTGCAGGTACAGTGATGATCTGCTGAGGGCTCCTCACAACAGACGAGTACTTGTACTGGTTGTTTCTGATCATACCGGCCGTGTCTGTGCGTCCTCCTACAGTCTGGGTCCCAATGTTATCTAAAGATAGACATTACATGTGTCACAAACCACCAGCGACATAATGACACATTTTAGAGGAATAACACTTTTAATCCAGGTACTAACTTGTCTTCTGTGAAGAACTGACAACACGTGGAGCCTGGGTGGAAGCTTGTCTGACTGTAGCAATGGTCGGTGATCCACGTCGAGGAACAGAATTACCAACAAACTGGGTTGAGTACGGGCCTAAAAACATGGACAATATTTATATATACATATACACTTTATATAGAGATGTATCTATGTGAACACAACACAAACTGTCCACTCACCCTGTGGTCTCGGTGGTTGTCCTGTCCAGCGAGGTACTGGCCTCATGTTGCTGACAACGTTGTGGTTATAGAAGGAGCGAGTAGGAGGCTACAAGATAAGAATCAATTTAGAATGCATGGCATCAAAATCCAGCTCAATCTCTAAACCACAATGAATATTTGTCTCTTTGGACAGAACTAAACAAATTTAACTGAAAACACACTGCATACAAAGAGAAGGGCAGGAGGATGCTAAGTGGCTTCAAGGAGTGTGGGCAAGTTGAAAAGGTCTCAGGAAAAAGAAAAGGCTGCAGGGAAATAATAACTGAGAATTGAATCAATGACAACTTTTCTCCCTCGTGGTTAGAACTCATGCCAGTAGGGAGTGCTGCAGCTCCCTCAGCACCCCTACTTCTACAGTCCTTATTTCTTTTAATTCTATTTCATCTGCAAAAATGTAAATTGAGAGATGACATTTAGCACTGCAATGAAATATATTATTTCAACAAGCTGACATTCGGTCGACGAACATTTTCAAAAATGTACAAACACTGATTAGGACGGCTTTCCAATGAGGAACGGCTCATTACAATAAAACTCCCTCTCCTCTGTCACTGCTCAAACACCCGTACCTGTGGTACAGTCATGTAGTATCCGGTCTGGTGGTATGAGTCGATGATGGGACTTTGCATGGTCCTCAGGGTGGCGAGTCTCTGCATGTACTTGTTGGTGAGGATTGCTTTACGCTCCTCCCTCCGCTGAGCCAGAGCCACATACAGCGGCTTGGTTGCAACAATTCTTCCGTTCATTTCAGTGACAGCTTTTGTTGCTTCCTCAGGTGAAGAGAAACAGACGAAACCAAAGCCCTTGCTCTGCGAACCGTCTGTCATCACCTGCAAGAAACAAAGAAGCTGAAGGTCAGAGATAATTCACATAATTGACACTAAAGAACCAACAAAGATGTAAATTTATCTCCGTTGTGCTCACCAGGTTATTTTTAAGAGACTTGTTTGTGTCATTTAATGATTATTTGTGAAAACCCAGACGGATTGGTGATCAAACTTTGCTATGTAAATGTGCTGTTTTAATGGTTAAATGTTTTTGCAATGAGAATTTTGCAATGAACACACACGCACACACAACAATACCTTGGCACTGGTGATGATGCCATAAGGGGCAAACTCCTTCCGCAGCCTCTCGTCATCTATGGTATCATTCAGGTTCTTCACATACAGATTCACCCCCTGGAGACGAGTATGACAATATAACATTTGTTCTTCCTGACAATTTTGTTTGTCAAGCAGATTTATTTACCATTTACCTTCATATTGGAGATAATATTCTACTGATGAAGTCAGTTGTTCTTTGATGACACAGTGACTTCTTCCATTTAATTTTAAGGAAATTGCAATGTTTGATCTTGTACAATTGACTCACTTTAAAAAAAATGTAACTGTTAACAGAGCCTTGTTGTAAAAGAACATATGCAGTCAGCTGAACTTGCCTGGTTTATGTAAAACAAACAACTGAGGCCTCTATTGTGAACATCACTGAACCTTTACTTTCCTTCTAATATCCCAACTCTTGAGAGTTGTAACACCATAAACATAGTTAGCAAATGACAATTTCCATTTTTAAACAATTCAGCAGTACCTGGTAGCGCTGGATGCGGTCCTGCTTGATCTGGTCAAACTTGCGTTTGAGCTCTCCCTGGCGTTCCAGGCGCTTCTGAGCCCGCCCAACATAGATGGTTTTTCCATTAAGCTCCTTTCCATTCATTTCATCAACAGCCTGTGAAACCGAGAAGAGCATCAATGTTACATTTACCTTTGCTGCAATTTAAAGCACATCACACATTTTATGACGAGACTTAGCTCGGCTCTACATAGTTTTCTAGTCTCTTGTGTTTGGTTTTATAGCAGCACATGGAGTTGTACCACCATCATCAGGACCTTGACCAACCCTAGCATGTCCGATCTGCCCAAAACAAATGGCCAGGAGATAAATCAGGATGGTCGACATCAGAGGTGTGAGCAGGAAAAGTCAGACAGAGAAGAAAGAAAGAATCAAATCATGAATACTGGGCAAAAGACATGGTTCAGAAAAAAACTATTGGAGAGTACAACTGCAAATTCAAGTATTGGTATAAGGTATAAAATGGCCTTTTGTGGCATTTGATAGAGCTGTAGGAAATCTGATAAGTTGAGGCTTTAGCCCACAACTTCGAAAATAAAAAACAAATATATATTCAATTAATTTGTTTTGTATAGTACCGAATCATAATATACCTTATCTCAAGGTACTTTACATAGCAGGTCAAGACCTTAAAAATTATAGAAAAACCCAACAGCTCCCACAATGAGCAGCACAGTGGCGACTGTGGAGAGAGTAAAGGTTCAAAAGGTTCAAAGGTTTTATTTGTCATCTGCACAACAGATACAGCGTACATGTTGGCAATGAAAATCTTAAATCTCCGTCATTAACTGGAAGAAACCTCTTGAACCAGTGAGCAGAGAAAAAAGGGGAAGAGAGAAGAGAGACAGTTGCATAACCATCATATATATATTATTTGGTAAGATATTTCTCTGGGGTTGTCAATTTAGAGGTGAGATTCACTATGGACTCTATTGCCTTTAATTCTGCTAGATCGATTGATTTTGGTTTCCCCAACAGTGCATTGAAGAGTCTGACCATGTTATAGGAGAGCAATGATAGATCAGAAATCTGATTTTGTGAATACAGTGATCGTATTTCTAGCACATAGTTCTTAGAGCATATAAAGCTATTAAAAAAGAAACCAACACTACAGGTCCAGTATAAATGTCTCTATAATTGACTGGTTGGTAGGTATCTACTATAAGTGGACACAGACACTCGGCACACTACCTTCCGAGCATCTTCGTGGTTTGCATAGTTAACAAAACCAAATCCTCGTGAACGCCCCCTCTCGTCCTTCATCACCCGCACACTCAGAGTCCTCCCTAAGAGCGAAATGTATGGAAATTCACTATTAGCTGATCAAGACGATGCATCTAAATAGGAACAACAAATAACAGGATTTTTACCAAATGCAGAGAAGACTCCCTTGAATTTCTCGTCACTATAGTCTTCACCAAAGTTCTTGATGTAGACGTTGGTGAACTTCATAGCTTTGGTTCCAAACTCAACCTCTCTCTCCTTACGAGACTTGAAGTGGCCAACAAACCTGTGGACAGAATCAATCCCATGAACCACGGGACAATAATTGAAAGGATAAAAGAATAAGTTAGTCACTGATTGTGAAGAGTATGGAAATTTGTCTCTGCTTTAGCACACAGCATCACAATCACCCTGGACAGTCAGTTTTCAGCAACACAGCAGCAACACAACTAAGACATAAGTTAAAAATACATATTGTTGGGACACAATAACATTTAAGGACAAGAATGCTTTGTTTCTCTTTCTATTATGAATAGAAAATCTGTATCTATATTTCTGATGATTATGCTTTGTGCAATGTTTTGCAAAGATCCTACCTATTCACTGACCTAGTCAACTGACTTTTTTGTCCCAGGAAATTGACCGTTGGTTTCACAATGCCAGCTTCCAACTGACGACTACCTTTCTTTTGACTGAGCAAAACACACAGAAAAGTTCTGAGATATGATCAGCATTCATATCAGTTCATATAGTTAAATACATGTTCTGTGCTACTCTTTGCCTCAACTTACATTAGAAGCCATTGAAAAACAGGTCAAACCAAAGTATTTTGTTGACTCACACTTTCCTATCGTTCAGCAGCATCCCATTCATTGTTTCAATGGCCCGGTTTGCAGCCTCGTGAGTTTCAAAGTGAACAAAGCCGTAACCTTTTGATCCATTTTCATCACAAACAACCTACAAAGACAAAAAATATTCCCAGCTTTAGAAAAATCAAACGTGCATTTGAGTTTTGAACCATGAGCATTTTACAGAGCTGGGTGATAATCCAGTGGTGTTGCTTTTCTCTGAAAGTAATAGTCAATTTATTGTTTTACAAAACTCTTGTACAAATTAAACATTACAATCAAATTATAATTAAATGAAATGGTAAGATATTATTTCTGAAAAAAGTCTCACTGCACTTATTTGGATTTACTGATCAACATAAATGTCAATGTTGATCATTTTTGTAAATACATTTTTAGTCTAAAAGACTAAAGCCACACAGACTCTACACTGACATACACATTTCATTGTTACATCACTGCACACAGACGATAGCCAAGCAACAGTAGGCACTTACCTTGCAGGACAAAATATTGCCAAAGGCTGAGAAGGTGTCATACAGTGCCTTGTTGTCAATAGACTCATCCATGTTCTTGATAAAGATGTTGCCCACACCGGACTTCCTGAGTCCTGGGTCACGCTGAGACCACATTATCCGGATTGGCCGACCCTTGATAACGTCATAGTTCATTGTATCCAGGGCACACTCCGCTAAAAGAAAAATTAGAAAAACATCTTAGTACCATACACCCCTTTTAATGAGAAACT